ACGCAGTTCTCAAGGTTAAACTTCAACAGCCATTCATCAGACCATTCGCATAGGCGGTTCAGTCCTTCTTGCAGGGTTCGCTCATCATTCTCCCCGTTGATCGCTCGCCATAACTTGATGTCATCGGTAAACATGACTCCATTGCAGTCCAGTCCATTCATACAGTCGTTGACATAAATTAAAAATAGTACTGGTCTGAGTGCAGAGTCCTGGGGAACTCCACTCACAACTGGAACTGGCGTTGAGTTCGCAGTACCAATGCACACAGACTGTGATCGACCAGTCGGAAAGTTCTCTACCCAGTTTAATAGGTTTCCGCTTACCCCTGACTCTCGGGCCTTGTAAAGCAACAGGTGATGTGGAACACTATCAAAGGCTTTCTTGAAATCGATAAAAACGATATCCACCCTTGTTCCTTCGTCTAGCGAGCGAGACCACTGTTCCGTTGAATAGAGAATATTAGTTAGGCAGGAGTGATTTCGTCAAAAGCCGTGTTGGGAACTAGCAATTAAATTATTTTCTTCAAGGAACTTCATTAAGGCTTTTTTGACTATTGCTATGAATAATCGACTTGTTAATTCCGACAGGCCGTCAGGGTGTGCAGCACTCAGGAGACTCGAAGCGGTAAATCCCTCGGAGGTCGAAAATTTCAAGCCGGATTCCAAAGACGCTTGTAACAGCTGCGAGGGGTTCGGCCCCACAGTATGTCTTCCAGCCTTCCCTTGTGTTTTCTGGTATACGAACTCCAGTTTCACCTTGCCTTGTTTAATTTCCAAGGAAATTAATGCGCGAGCCCAGCAAATGTTTATGAGTCAGAAGACTCGAAGCCGGCCATTGCTTCCTCATTCGCATTAGTTCTAGCTCTGACCACCCGCTTATTGACGCTCTCACTCCGAGAGGTGGGTCGTATGCCACGCGCAACGCTTCCATGGCGATTCCGCCGCCTCTTTGCTCTATATTTAAACGCTCTCTCCTTTCTGCATCCAAATAAACTCCTCTTTAAATTAATTTTTCAGTGTAGCTTAGATCGCCGTCTAATTTATCGATATTCAAACCGAAATTATGCACTGGGCTTCACATTGGAAAGCATAAAGTCGATATTGACCGTTTCATCTCCGAAAACTCTAATTCTGGACATTTAGAATGGTCCTCCTGGGATTTAATGGTCGGTTTTACTGGTTTTACTTTTGAAAGGGGATAACTCAATTTAGATTTTGATAAAATCCTGTTGGTAGTTGACTAAAAAAGCCATCGTTATTACTCCTCCACCACAGGGATGATTTTCGCGGTTTTTTGGTGTTATCTCCGTATTTCGACCCCAAGCGATCTGTTGTCGTTCACTGCGGACTCCTATGTTTTCGTCATCTGTTGGTGGCTTGGTCAGTTAACCAAGAAGTATCGTAGTCTCATCATCCCGCGCTTGGAGCACCCCCAAAGCCTTTAATTTCCCCTTCCCGACTGGACTTTAAGCTGAGTATGGCCGATCGCGTTTAGGTTCCTCACGCCACCTTGACGATTGCTACTGCTGTCATCCAAAAAACGTTATGACCGCATCCGCAACGAATTGCCTCATCCGGTATAGAAGTTCTTCCTTCACGAGGAACTTTTCGGACCCTTATATACTGACTTAAAAGACGTTACTGTCCTAGCCACCTATTTACCTTCCCATGGGTGACATTTCGTTCTCCTTAAATGCTAAGCAAATCAATACCGCCTTACTTTCTTCGAAACTGAGGAGGTTTTTCGTACTAGGTTGTCTTTTTAAAAACAAAAAATGAACCTTGTATGGGTTTTGGCTACGCATTCTAATATTCATTCGAAAATCTATTTTTACTTATCATGAAAGTACTCTTGTAGGTGCTAAACACAGCTGTTCATTTAAGTATTCGTATGACTACGTTGTGGAGCATGTTCAGATTTAGCGAAGGTTTGTGTGTTAATATAGAGAGGGGTGTGATAGTGAGATATAGATCGTGGAGAGTTGTTTCTGACCTTAATGGGGGCGCATGGGATATAATGTACCCATGCAATGACCGCATGCCCTGCAGCAGCGTATGCAAGTTAGGCATATATGAGGGATGTAGGCTGGAACTCCGGGGGTTGTATCGCCAGCTTTAGCGCGATAGATTAGCAAGCGATGAATGCATGATTCGAGGTTTGGTTTCAATAAGAGCAGATTGTGATTGAGCTAACGCTACAGGTTAAGCGGGCGACAGTGACGATTTTGTCCAAGATGTCACGCGTAACCACACTGGTAATGGTAGCGGTAGCGGTAATCGTGTTGTGTCGAAAGAGAAGAAGCTGATTAGTCGTGGCGACATTGTGCTGATTTCAGATATCCGGTCCGGAATGCCCGTCGACAGCGTTGACTCGGAGGCAGCGTTTGGGTTCTTGTATTATCAGTCCTGCGTCGTGAGAGCCGCTATATTTGCCTTGACGTCAACATTCCTAATAGTCTCGAAAATGGCTATTGCGGCCTTTACACTGGTATACCACACCTGTCGGTATTTGACGAGGTGCTCCCATGTCTCCAGGGTGACTTGCAGGCGCTTGGGCAGATCTTTAATCTGTCCTTGTGGACAGCGTTGTACTCACGTCTAACAACCTTTATGATACGACTCCTAATTACCAGTCGTATTCACCAGCCTGAGTATGGGAGCAATTAGAAACGCAAGTACATGAATAAAATTGATAATCAGGAATTTAACGACCCCATCTCCATTCAGACGTGTGAAACGCGTCTCTCCTTCATCGTTGGTTCCGACTGCGTTAAACAACCAGTAGAGTTAGGGAATGGTAATCAGACTGTCAACACAAATTACTCTGACGCCTCCGCAAATTATCCCCTCCAAGACCAGATTGTGCCATAAATGACACCGAAAGATACATATAAGCCTAAAAGAAATGAGTAACGTGGCGATCACGGAAATGGATGTGACGCCGACTGTTGGTGATATATACAAGAGGAACGGAAAAAAGTGCAGACTGCCCCATAAGTGTGGAGTTTGATGATGAAGTTGTGTTTGAAAGCAGACTTGAGCAGCATGTTTAATGACACCAACGAATTTCGTGACATTTCCTCAACTGCAACCCGCCTTTGCATAACATAGGTAGTGGATAGAAGAGTAGGGCAGTTTGGATAAGTACAGAATGTTGATGCGTAAGAGTATGATCAAGGTTCACTGCAACAGATGATCAAATAAAAAATGTTACCATAACAATCATGTAAGAAAGAAGGGGACGGACGTACAAATCACAATCAAGAGTACATCGTGATGCGAAGACTACCAAAGCAATCGCAGATTGACACATGGCCTAACTGTTTATATAGCTTTGGCTTCTCACGCCGTACATAGCCTGCTTCCAAGTAGCGCAAGGTCCGAGATGTACGCGCTCGAACAAGTACTCGGGAAGCTGTTAGAAGGACAAGAGCATTACTGCTATCTAACAGACGTTTCTTAATAGACGAACGAGTTGTTTTGTTTTCCTATTTGAAAAGCCAATTAGACAAATGGGCAGCGGCGCCAGCTGGCACTTCCAGATGCGTTCGCTCCATGTATTTGGTAGCAGAAGACATGGGGGAAATAGAGTAGACGGGATGGAGGGATAGAGAATGTAGGAAATTGAACTGCGGGGGTAGGAGCCCACAAGCCTCATCGGAAGAAATGTCCGGGATAGCTGCTTTGGGGCGGTCATGGCACACAGCCTCCTCCCGAGTTTATCTTTGGGTGCGGGACGTTTAGGTCCATCTAGAGAAAACCCGAAACGGGGTCGTCGTACGGTGGTTCGAATGGCAGGCGGACTCTAGCACATCGGAGATAGACCTAAAAAGACGCCGTTTTGTCTTTCTCAACAATAAACTAGAAGAACGAGTGTCTGGCCGGAACCGAGGAGAGCGCCGCATGGACTGTTTGAGACGATGCAGGATACTGGTCGAATCAATAACCGCACTGCGAGACGTTGACGAGATCATCTCACTGGGAAGTCGGACAGCGGCGTCGAAAACTAGCTCAGCGGCGAAACATGTAAAGTCCGACTTAAGAGCGGAGCGGATGTTCAAGAGGACCGGTTCTTCGGATATTCTGTGGAGCGTAGGGAGATCTTCAGCTGTTTCGGAACTCGCTTAATCGTCCCTTTGGCTGTCGGTGATAGAATGTCCTGCGGTACCGAATGTAATCTAAAAAAAGAGAAGAGGGACTATAACAGGCAAGACTCGGATTGGGCATCGCCGTCAACCGTAACAGTAGAGGGAGCATCAAAAATAGCAGTTCAGCGATCGAGGAAAGCCTTTACGACCGTCTTAGCCTCGACATCAGACGTAAAGGTTAGACCTGTGCATCGGATGATATGGCCCTTACAAGCTAGGGGGTAGATACAAATTTGGGTAGAGGCAGGAGAGGGCGGGGCTACAATGTAAGAATGAACATGACTTAACCGGAAGACAGGGTCAGGGGAGGTTCCAATGGGAGCCTTGCTGTGCTGTTAGACATTGCTCCGCTGATACATGAGACGTGTTCGTTTCCAAACTTTCAGGTCCGTGGACATTTCAAGTCAGACGAGACGGTCAAATACTAGCTTGGTTGTCACTCGACTCATAGAGTAAGAAAGGTTTCACAGGGAGCAGGAGATCTGACAGCGAATGAACGGCGGCACGACGGACGGTTGGAGATATAAGAGACGTCGTAGAAAATGGACATTTCGTCAGTAGTCAGTGGGAGTTCCTGGAGAAAGAGATCGGAAGCATCCTCATCGCAGGTAGGACCAACACGGCGTTGTTTGTCAGCCGCCACGGTGATGTCGATTCCTAGAGAAAGCTGAAAATGAGTGCTGGAATGTCTGGACAGATCGTCCACTTTGGTCAAACCTTAACAACCAATAAATGATGGACGTAAAATTCTCTCTCATCGCCGATCTTGAGCAAAATATTGTCTTCATGCAACTTGATTTTATTGAGCGTGCCGCGCGGCCATTTAAAAAAGTTTCTATGCGGACGGTTTCCCATGGGAGATTGTGGGTGTTGTAAATGTTTCCTGTCCGTATGTCGGGCTACACCAGTTATTTTTATTCTCCTAATACTTATTTGGTCCTACTACGCGTATGTGGTTGCTTTTTGCATAGGCAAGTTTTCCACCTTATCCTGACGGGCTTTTATAGAATATGTTACTGAGGTCTACGAGAAAGGTATGTCTCAGTTTTATTTCGCCAGCTTTCCAGTGCTCTATCTTGTGTTCTACCACCCACTGCTCATCTTGTTCTTATGGGCATTCTTGAAAGCAATTTTTGCATCACCTCGCCGGCCGTCACACGAGGCAAGTAATCTCTTTCTAACCAACTTTGAAATAAGAATAACAGTGTTGCTACCGAATTCAGTATTTATAGTTTTCATTTTTTCGCCACCCCCACCCCAAACTCAATTAAATTATTCCTTGTTTTTGAAATTTGACGTCTAATCCCGTAATCTGTCGTCGATTGTGTATGTGTGACATTTATCATCGACTGAAGAAAAGGAGTAGGGGCGGTCATGGAACAAGTTCTATCCGTGCCGGTGAGAAACTTCCTTATTCCTGACTTTGCTCTTTTCAACCTCGCCACCTGTCTCGTATCGCACCGTGCCCGACGCACGGACGTTGACATGCCTGTTCACTGTGGTTTGTCTTCGGCCTCACCGTGATCGGCCACTGGTCATTTCGCGGTACCTTTATACATTGTGTGGTCGTTGCAGAAAAGTTAGCAGTTTTGTTGAGCTCTACGTCTTTATCTGGCGGACTGGTCGGTCGTTGCTGCTCATGCGAATTTTTTTTTACATGTGTTTATGCCGGTCACATGTTTGCCGGCTGGCCCCCTTCCTCTTTTACGCTGTTTTCGGCTATTCGACTAACGCAGCTTTGCTTCCTTATCTTGTTGGCCCTGCTTGAGCTGGTTAGGGCCTGGTGTGTATCTCCTAGTGGGCAAGGTGGAGGTCCATAACTCGGCCGGGCGTGCTAGTTGAGGACCAATTTTCAGGCGTCAGTCTAGCGATCTTATTGCCTTGGGTAGATAACCCTGGCGTTCCCAAAGGCAAGACCGCAGTTCTGTTGTTTTATGTGGCCATATACTGGAGGCGGTCTATCATCGAAGCCGATTACAAGCTGGTGTTCGTGTGATTTTGTGCCTAGGCGTTTACCCGTCTCACTGACATGCCTCGTCAAAACTTTGATATGGTATGCTGTAGACTACTGCCCATTGTTGCGTCGCCAGTAGCGAGTGTTTGAACCTCATCATTTGCTGTCTGGTAGTGGATTCCGATCTATGACCAGCGCAAATCCCAAAAAAGTTCAGGAATTCTTGTAGTCATCCCCGAAACATTCTTCACATAGGGAGTCTTGCGTCGGACGCTACTTTATGCCAGACAGAGGACTTGACTGAAAATACCAAGGCCAGCAAAAACAACTACCTCATTGTTCTGATTATGGGAACGAGGAAGTTTGCCAAGCGTCAGTAAGGATAAAGCTCGGTCTTTACCGGAGTTTCATGCATGTTAATAACTGTATCCTTTGCTCGATGATAAAGGGCGCAATGACCAAAGAATCTGGGTTAGAATCCTGAGCCATTTAAACCTGAGATTAGATATGACCGGCTGGCAACAGCTGACTTTATAGGTATTTCTTCCTGTATGTATACGTCAGAGGATGTGGGTAGATGGGCACGAAGCTGTATCGGGCCTTTTGGCCTTTTTTCAGTCAATTATAACCCTGATCACCATCCGGAACCAGAAGCACAAATATATACACGCACAGTGCAGATTTTCCATAGACATCGAATTGAAATTAACCAGATTTTTGCTGTCCATCATGCTTCGTCTTCGAGATTGGGCTTTTATTCCTGGAGGAATGTGCGCGCACTGATCCTACACATATATCTTAATTCGCAGCCACAGAGCGTGGAGTGTGGCAAGCTATTAATAAACTCCGACCCGATAATTTGCTTACGAGCTCTCTGACAGCTCCCGTCTGTTGAGCATGTACGTCTTACACGTCTACAGAAGAGAATGTAAAGACCAAGCGGCAAGGGTAAGCGTACAGAGTACGTCTTTAAACGCGACTAACTTCTTTCATTAATGCAGGAAAAATGACGGGAGAACAGCGAACGTAAACGAAGAGAATGCAGACCTGACCAAATCTCTAAGTCAAAAAATACGGATATGTGGTCAGAGTGTGTGCGCTGCGTGTGGCACGCAAGTTTGTAAATCTCATTAAAACGAGGTTCTGCACGAAGGACCCGGGATAAATTTGAAGACAGTGATGCCAAGATGCCGGACCGCATTACAAGGGGTACAAAGCTTACGATATTGCGAGGTGGTCGCGGCCTGACTTCTGTCTGTGAGGGAGAGGACCATTTTCAAACCATGCTACTGCATGCCTCAATGTAGCATTAAATTCCTAGATATTTGGCATTGTTTTCTGCGGAAGGTAATTAGTAGTTTCGTCGACGAATTGTATTTCCCAGGTGTCACGCATTGCACATCTTTGTCTGATGACCTGCGGCATCGGATCAAAAAAGTTCGACTAGCTGTCTTTTCCAGCGACAGAGAGCGAAAACCAAAGTCCAATAACCACCTCCATTTCCCTACGAACTGTGTCAAGCTACAATTTGAGCAGATCTCTTCGACACCTACAGAAGGGAGCAACATTGAACTCATAGGGCTGACTACGATGAACGCGTCGGAGCTACGACATTCCTTTTTTTAGGATGGCCTGGAATATCCTTGCTATGTCGTAGCGAGTGCGGAATGCATAATTCGATACGAAATCAATGTACATCACTTTAAGGATGGTCATCAGGCAACAGCGCTCTATCTGCTCCAGTTTTCGCCCGTCTTCCTTGTGCACAACCCAGTATTCACACCATGCTGGATACTGGGACAGGAGCGTGTTAAGGTACAGACGTTCGGCGTGAAACGTCCAGAGTATGGTCAAGAGGGCATTAGGGCGAGTGGTAGAAAATTACTCGTGCGTCCTAAAAGGGTAGGAGGACTAATTTTGTACGACTCGCGTCACCAACTGGAAGGATTTCATTGTTACCTGACGTAAACCAATTCACTGTCAAGAAGTAAGACAGGCAAGAAAAGTCTCGGAAAAGTTGTGGATGATATAAATGTTGCCGAGGATTGTACCCACAAAAACTGTCCGTCCACGGAACTTGTAAATGACAGCAGCGCAGATAAATAATGTCTGACGTCTGTTGCTGTGGTACTCGTTGACCCAAACATGATGACCTCATGATGATTCTCTGCCCCAATGGGGAACAGAGAGGTGGGAACAAAATTAACTCAGACCAATTGCATTTGTTCACCGAAGTCGTACTGCATATAGCACGACATTTTAGTGAGGTGCTTTTACAGTTTTATTTCTCTCAACACTATAACTGCTTCAAAATCGTGAAGAGTAGCTCTCTTTTTTTAGTATTTCTTATCGGCAGCCGACTGGCAGCTTCTGAATTCCGTAGAGGGGGATGAAGCCAAAAATCAAATTCTTGAGAAGATTATAAGCGAAAGAAAACTGCCAATAGAAACCACAGGAGACACGGGCTTTATTCGAACTTGTCCACAGTGCAGCATAATCAAACCCGATCGGTGTCACCATTGTTCTACCTGCGGCTGGTAAGTAGTTCTGCTGTCCGACTCTTTGCTTCCTCCTTAACCATCTCATCTGCTCGTTTTTTGTATTTTGTGGACAAGTTTGCATGCAAAACGCGGCTTAAATTGTTTTTTCTGCATTACGCACACCCTTGAACTGCTAGAGAAGGTGACTGGTCCAGATCCTTTCAGCTAGATTGATGAAGTTTATAACCAGATGGTTCTCGCACATTTGACTCTCTTCTTCTCCTGAAGACAGGCACAAGGATGATCGCGTCCCAGTCAGCATGAGATATCTAATTTCTGCATGCATGTTCAGTCACTCAATGAAACCAGGATTTCAATGCGTCAGCTAAGGACCTGTAGATGAAAGTAGACATAACAGCCTCCTCGGGCGTCTGGTTGTTGTACAGCCTTGGAACCACGTCGGATTTTCCTTCCTGGAAGGGAAATTGCACGAAACGACATAGTTTTTCGAAGGGCAGAATTCGCTTCTGAAAAGAGAGATAGTGATTGGGTGGTCATTAAAGCTGGGAAGGCGGCCGAACTTTCGCGATAATGTTAAAATTCACATTGCGAACAGTCACACAGTGCAATGGACTGATTTTCGACTTGGCGGCAAAAGTAGTTATCGTGAGTGCTGTGGATAGTTGAGGTCTGCTTCTTAGAAGTGCCCTTCCAGTCTGATGGTTCCTACAGCCCATCCAGCAAATTCGCCACTCGGGACACCCGCATTGGCTTTCTCAAGTTGCCCTATGTTCGGATTAATTTTGTGTATGCCAATGTTTGATGACCACTAGCGGTTTGGTATTGTTTCCATACAAGCTAACTATTCATCTTGCAATCGTCTAATGTGGTTTCCATAGATGTTTTGGCAGGTTTTGAATAATTCATATTGACCCAACTGTGAAAAGCCCGGAGCCTCGGTACGATTCGAACCCACACAGTAAGGAGAAGGCTTTAGTACAGCCAACGCTCTAACCACTTGAGCTTCACAGTTTGGTCAATATGCATTATTCACAATCTGCCAAGACATCTATGAATTACGCGAGACCGGTAGTCATCTGATGGATTGTAGGTCGATTACTTAGAAAATTCTGCTTGGGCAGTCAGCTTCCTGTATCAGATTTGGTGGATTCCAGACGTTGCAGTAGGTTGGGCGGGTAACTTGACCCCAGTGTGATTAAACTCCCATCGTCGGGCGGAGCCTCGTAGATCAAGTGGTTAGAGCGTTGGTTGTACTAAAGCCTTCTTACTGCGTGGGTTCGAATCCCATCGAGGCGCCGAGCTTTTAAGAGTTGGGTCAATATGAATTAATGTGGTTTTATTGAATTAACTTATGTCGATCTAAGAGGAACGATTTAGCGAAGCCATGAAATGCTGCATGTTTTTTAATACTGTAATGCATTATAATTACAAATCCTCATCATATCTGATTTCCAGGCCTACACTTATTTTCTATTGGGAGTTTTTGTAATCGACACTATATCACAGTAACAAATGCACTTAAAGATCATTTATGGGTGTCTGGCTTTTGTCATTGTCATGTGCATTGCTACTACGAGCCCTATTTCTCACATTAGTGTCTTTCTACGCGAAACCCGCCTCCAGATTATCATATTACGCGAAAATTTGGTCTATGGGCTGACTGAAGCCGGAATCCCAGCACACAACAGACGTTATCAAGTAGACACGGAGTTTCCGACTGAGCAGTAGACCTATTCCATCTGTAGTTTGTTTTCCGATTCGACACACCGTGGGCACCCGCTGCTAGACGTAAGACTTCTACAACTCGTGCTTTCAGTTATTAGTTCCCCGGTTGTCTGGTCACACAAAACGAGAAGCCAGCGAAGTTAGTGACTAATGCGGGATTAGATTGATTACTTTTTGACTTGCCTCACTTCACCAGCCAACTATATCCCAAACACAGACCGCGGGGCCATGCGGTTATACCAAGAGTCATTTGGTTATTGGACAGGGGAAAGCAAGACGTAAACCATATAGGTAAATACGAGGTCGTTTTGAAATGGCTGAACACTCACATACAGAAAATAAGCATATCTGCAGCTTCATAAGGGTATGATTG